AGCCACTCCTCGGAAGGAAGATGGGGCAATCTACTTCCGTAGTGATACTGCCTCAGAAACCCAAGGAGGGGTCGCTATGAGTCGGGTCTGACAACAACAGCAACTGCCTGGAGGTAATGGGTAAAAGTTGGCATAAACAGAAATGCCAAAAAGCTTAAATGGAAAATCTGAATGAGATGTTCACAGGGGCTTTGAAAAGTTCCAATATGTTCATGGGAATCTAGACAGTCACATGCATGCAACAGGCCAAGTGTTGCACAGGAAAGACCTGGGACGTTCCAAGCTCTGAATTCTGGCTGTCTTTGAAATTCTGGACAAGCAGGATGCTAAGACAGAGCTGTATTGCCAGCTGAGTGTTGAAGGCATGCCCCAACACATGCACAAAACCCCACTGGAAATCCTGGGAGATTTTTCAGTTCCAAGAATTTAAGGAAATATCTGTCTAATCAATAGCTGACCGCCAAGCTAATGGAATAGGGATTTCAGTGGCAACACATGACAGAGAGTACAGGTGTTTTACAATTAGGTCAGAAAGGTCACCAAACAAACAAGCAACTACTAGAACAGATGGTAATAACAGCAAACCCCGAGATGAGGGCAGATAACCTGACTTCAGCCACAGTAAAATATTAAAAATGTCCATTTTTAAACAAAAAAATTGAAGTATGCAAAGAAACAAGAAAAGATGGCCCAAACACTGGAAAAACAACCCAGGCAGTATCACTGCGGAAGTAGATTGCTCAACCAGAGCTCCAATGAATTACTGAAGCCAGCAGAAAAGTAGAGAGTGTCATGGGAGGGATGGTTGGTGTCAGAATTGGTAAAAAGGTTGGAAGGTGGCAGCTTGTCTGGCCCCATAGGAATAAGCCTTAGGCTGTGGATGGCAATTTTCTCTCCCCTTTGTGAAATTAGGAGCTCTGATGGTGTAGTGCCTGAGGCATTGAACTGCTAACCAGAAGGCTGGCAGTTGAAAGCCACCAGTCACTCCTTGGAAGGAAGGTTGGGCAATCTACTTCCATAGCGATACCTCCTGGGAAACCCAAGGAGGGTTGCAATGAGCTGGATTGACTAGTGGGCGATACACTTGGTTTGGTTTGTTTTTTTGTGAAATTAGAGGTCAGAGGACACCTCCCCCAGGCCTTTTTTTCAGACAGTAATGGAGGAACTGGGAACAACAAGAAAAACATATAAAGCAAATGGCAGAATGGTAGAAGAAATTAAATGTAATGGATTAAACTCTCCAATAAATAAGCAGAAATTGGCAGAATGGATTTTTAAAACATGATCGAAATAGAACTATCCACCAAGGACTCACTGTAGGTTGTGGTTGGCACTTGTTTC